AAAAAAATAACATAAAAAAAGTATGGCAAATAATTTATTGAGAGATAACGCAAAAGGAGAGAGAGAGAAAAAAAAAAAGTATGGCAAATAATTAATTGAGATATCACGAAAAGGAAGAGAGAGAAAAAAATAAAATAAAAAGTATGGCAAATAATTCATTGAGATATATCGAAAAGGGGAGAGAGAGAAAAAAATAAATAAAAAAGTATGGCAAATAATTTATTGAGAGAGAACGCAAAACGAGAGAGAGAGAAAAAATTAAAAAGTATAGCAAATAATTTATTGAGAGAGAACGTAAAGGAAGAGAGAAAAAAAAAAAAAGTATGGCAAATAATTTATTAAGAGATAACGGAAAAGGAAAGAGAGAAAAAAAATAAATAAAAAGTATGGCAAATAATTTATTGAGATTAACGAAAAGGAGAGAGAGGAAAAAATAAATAAAAATATGGCAAATAATTAATTGAGAGATAACGCAACGGGAGAGAGCGAGAAAAATAAGAGAAAAAATGACAAATTAAGGAAGAAAGTGGGGGAAATTACACTAAGGGAAATAAAGAAGAACGAGAAGAACAGGGAAGAAGAGCAGTATGGAGGAGGGAGGGAGGGGAGAGAGAGAGAGAGAGAGAGAGAGAGAGAGAGAGAGAGAGAGAGAGAGAGAGAGAGAGAGAGAGAGAGAGAGAGAGAGAGAGGAGAGAGAGAGAGGAGAGAGAGAGAGAGAGAGGGAGGGAGGAAGAGAGAAGAGGAGAGATAGAGATAGATAGAGAGAAAGGAGAAAGAGCCCAGAGAAAGCAAAAACAGAGAGAAAAGGAGAAAGTGAAAAGAGAAAGAGATAGAGAAAGAAAAACAGAGAGAAACGAAAAAAAACACACCACCTCCACAGCCACAACCCGAAACACAAATGACCGATACAGAGACAGACCCCCACCCACCCACCCACACTCCACGAACAAAACAAACACACAAACCCCTCACGCCTCAACCCTAACCGCTTTATCCTTACCCCTTCCCAACCCACTCCCCCACACACCACCCGACCCAACCCCCCCACGGTCCAACCCCCCCCACCCCACCCACTCCCCCGAAGGTCTCTAACCCCCCGAACCCCTCACACCGACACGACACCACCTCCACTCCACCCACCCCAAGGTCTCCCCTCCACCGCCCAAGGTGCCCCACACCCTCCACTGCACCCACCCGCCCAACCCGACCCTCCACTGCCACAAGCCACCACCACCCCCTCCACCCCTCCAAGGTCCCCGTCCATTCCTCACCGGCCAGCAAGGTCCTTACCACTCTCCGCCCTGACCTCCGCACCAGACGTCATCGCGCAACCCCCGCCCCCCAACCCGCCAAGGTCCACCCCACCTCCACGCCCCCTCTAAACCCACACCCCACACCCACCCCCTGCCCCACTCGCAACACACCCTCCAACCGCCCTCCCCCTCCATCCACCCCCAAGGTCCCTCCATCCTCACACCAGCAAGGTCAATTCAGACTCGCCGACCTCGCCAGACGTCACGCGCCACCCCCCCCCTCCCCAACCCTTATCCCCCAACCCTCCACCACCCTCCAACCCCACACCCCTCCACCCCCCAAGGTCCCCCTCCCACGCACCCCCAGGGTCCTCCATCCTCACCACCAGCAAGGTCCTTCCACTCGCCGGACCTCGCCGCAGACGTCCATCCAACCCCCCCCAACCCCAAGGTCCCCCCCCTCCACCGCAACCCCCACCACCACCCCCCTCCCCACATCCACACACCCTCCAACCCCCTAGCCCCTCCATCCACAGCCCCCAAGGTCCCTCCATCCTCACCACCAGCAAGGTCCTTCCACTCGCAGGACCTCGCCCAGACGTCACAACCCAACCCCCCAACCCCCCACCCCCACTCCCCCACCTCCCATCCAACCCCTCCCCCCCTCCCCCCTCCACGCCCCCAAGGTCCCTCCATCCTCACCACCACAAGGTCCTTCCACTCGCCGGACCTCGCCCAGACGTCACCTCCAACCCCAACCCCCCCCCCACCGCCCCACTCCCCCCTCCCCCCAACCCCTCCACCCCCCCTCCCCTCCACGCCCCCAAGGTCCCTCCATCCTTCACCACCAGCAAGGTCCTTCCCTCGCCGGACCTCGCCCAGACGTCACCACCAAACCCCCCCCAACCCCCCCACCCACCAACCCCCACCTCCCTCCCTCCCCCCCTCCCCTCCCAACCCTCCACCCCCAACCCCGCCTACACCCCACCAACCCTTCCCTCCCCCTCCCACCCACCTCCCCCCACCCCCAACCCCCAAGTCCCTCCATCCTCACCCCCAGCAAGATCCTTCCACTCGCCGACCTCGCCCAGACGTCATCCCAACCCCCCCCTCCCCCCCAAGGTCCCCCACTCCCCCACCCCCTCCATCCCAACCCCCCAAGGTCCCCCTCCCCCTCCATTCCCTCCAGGTCCCTCCATCCTCACCACCAGCAAGGTCCTTCCACTCGCCGGGACCTCGCCCAGACGTCAATCCCAACCCCCCCTCCCCCCCAAGGTCCCCCCCACTTCCCCACCCCCTCCATCCCAACCACCCCAAGGTCCCCCTCACCCCTCCATCCCTCCAAGTCCCTCCATCCTCACCACCCAGCAAGGTCCTTCCACTCGCCGGACCTCGCCCAGACGTCATCCCAACCCCCCCTCCCCCCCCCAAGGTCCCCACCACTCCCCACCCCCTCCATCCCAACCCCCCAAGGTCCCCCTCCCCTCCATTCCCTCCAAAGGTCCCTCCCATCCTCACCACCAGCAAGGTCCTTCCACTCGCCGGACCTCGCCCAGACGTCACCCCCTACCCCCCAAGGTCCCCCTCCACCCCCTCACCCCTCCCACCCCTCACCCCCCAAGGTCCCTCCAACCCCCTCCACCCCCCACCCCACCCCTCCAAGGTCCATCCTCACCCCCAGCAAGGTCCTTCCACTCGCCGGACCTCGCCAGACGTCATTCCATCCACCCCAACCCCTCCCCCTCCACCCCCCCCCTCACACCCCTCACCCCCCCACCCTCCATCCCACCCCCAAGGTCCCTCCATCCTCACCACCAGCAAGGTCCTCCACTTCGCCGGACCTCGCCCAGACGTCATCCCGCAGGAGCAGCGAGAGGGTCGGCGCGTCTCCCAAGAGCACGTCCGAACAGCCTCAGGACAGCAGCCGTGGGACTCGTCCACGAATCTGTAATAATTAATAATAATAATAATAGTAATAATAGGAAGAGAAGAAAGAGAGAGAGACGAAAGAGAAAGATCTGTAATAATAATAATAATAATAATAAATATAATAATAATAATAATAAAATAATATAATAAGAGAGAGAAAAAGAGAAAGAGAGAGAGAGAGAGAGAGAGAGAGAAGAGAGAAGAGAGAGAGAGAGAGAGAGAGAAGAGAGAGAGAGGAGAGAGAGAAGAGAGAGAAAGAGAGAGAAAGAGAGAGAAAGAAAAGAAAGAGAAAGAGAAAGAGAAAGAGAAGAAAGAAGAAGAGAAAGATAGAGATAGATAGATAGATAGAAAGATCGGAGCGGAGAACTAGGGAAACGAGCCTATTACATTCTGTAAGAAAAAAAAAATTAAAAAATCATTTGACCTTAAACGACTTAAGGAAAGAAAGAAAATAAAAAAAAACGAACAGAAATTACACAAACAGAGAAACAAAAACAAGAAATCAAACTAACCTTAAGCCATTATCTCGATTGTCTTTCTCCGCCATTCCGAACATTCCTGCTCGGACGAGTCTGTGTGAAGGCAGATATTAAGTTAATCAGAAAAAGTAAAATTTAGTGATGATAAAGATGATGATACTAAGGATAGTGGTAAAAAATCAATTATCATTACTTTCCCTTATATTATGGTCATCTTGAAATGAATAAAATATATATGATTAGTAGCATAAATAATAATATAATTGATTAATATCTTTTGAAAATAACACGGTTTGTAACATCTCAGATCAAAATTATTAATTTACTCAAAATAAAAATACAAAGGAACATCTCGACATCAAAATAATTAATAACATTAAAAAAAGGAAAACCTCAAAAAAAGAAAAAAAAAGAAAAAGAAATTTTCAAAAATCAAGAAAATGAAAAGACATCTTCATCTTTAAAAAAAAAAAAAAAAAAAAAATCGAAACAAAATGCGCATCAACACAGAATCAACAAAACAAACGAGAACAAAAACCAATAAAACAAAACAAAACAATAACAACAACAACGCACCTGATGAGGGGCTGACCGCAAGAAGACGACGTGGACGACCCATCCGATGACTGAATTTCGTCGTCTTCTTCGCGGGGAGTCTCTGATGTGGCTGGGGAGGGGGGGGGAGGAGAGAGAGAGAGGGAGGGGGAGGAGAGGTGGAGAGGGGGGGGGGAGGAGAGGGGGAGAGGGAGAGAGGGGGGGAGGGTTAATTAGTGATAGGGAGAAACATATGTTTTTGCAATTGGTGACATGAATCAGCCATAAGTAGAAGTTTTGCTATGATATAAGTAATAACACGCTGGGACACGCACACGCGCGCACACAAACAAGCAAACACACACACAAACACACGTACGCATACATACACACCTAGACGGACACACACACACAAACACACACACACACAAACACACACACATACAAACACACACACACACAAACACATGCACACACACAACACACAACAACCAACATCTCTATCTATACTCAAACCCTCTGCATACACCAATGGAAATATACAACCAAAACGTACATGAATATATCTAAATAATCATATCAATTCATATCTTTTATTCCCCAGCTCCCCCCCCTTACAAAAAAATAATATCCACTCTCACACAACAAAAAACCCGACCTCCTCACCCACCGCATCCCCCAAAACCTCACAAACAACAAACACTCCAAAAAATCCCAACCCAACCAACCAAACAAACAAACAAAAAAAAAAACTCGCATCCCCCAAAACCTCACAAACAACAAAACACTCCAAAAAAACCAACCCAACCAAACAAACAAACAAACAAAAAACTCGCATCCCCCAAAACCTCACAAACAACAAAACACTCCAAAAAAAACAAAACCAAACAAACAACAAAAACAACACTCGCAACAAAACCTCAACAAACAACAAAACACTCCAAAAAACCCAAACCCAACCAAACAAACAAACAAAAAAAAACTCGCATCCCCCAAAAACCTCACAAACAACAAAACACTCCAAAAAAAAACAACCCAACCAAACAAACAAACAAACAAAAACTCGCATCCCCCAAAACCTCACAAACAACAAAACACTCCAAAAAACCAACCCAACCAAACAAAAACAAACAACAAAAACTCGCATCCCCCAAACCTCACAAACAACAAAACACTCCAAAAACCAAACCAACCAAACAAACAAACAAACAAAAAAACTCGCATCCCCCAAAACCTCACAAACAACAAAACACTCCAAAAAAACCAACCCAACCAAACAAACAAAAAAACAAAAAACTCGCATCCCCAAAACCTCACAAACAACAAAACACTCCAAAAAAAAACCACCCAACCAAACAAACAAACAAACAAAAAAACTCGCATCCCCCAAAACCTCACAAACAACAAAACACTCCAAAAAAACCAACCCAACCAAACAAACAAACAAACAAACAAAAAACTCGCATCCCCCAAAACCTCACAAACAACAAAACACTCCAAAAAAAACAACCCAACCAAACAAACAAACAAACAAAAAAAACTCGCATCCCAAAACCTCACAAACAACAAAACACTCCAAAAAAACCAACCCAACCAAACAAACAAACAACAAAAAACTCGCATCCCCAAACCTCACAAACAACAAAACACTCCAAAAAAAACCAAACCCAACCAAACAAACAAACAAACAAAAACTCGCATCCCCCAAAACCTCACAAAACAAAAACCTCCAAAAAAACAACCCAACCAAAACAAACAAACAACAAAAAACTCGCAAAAACCAAAACTCACAACCAAAAACTCCAAAAAAACCAAACAAACAAACAAACAAAAAACTCGCATCCCCCAAAACCTCACAAACCAACAAAAACTCCAAAAAACAAACCCAACCAAAAACAAACAAACAAACAAAAAACTCGCATCCCCCAAAACCTCACAAACAACAAAACACTCCAAAAAAAAAACAACCAACCAAACAAACAAAACAAACAAAAAACTCGCATCCCCAAAACCTCACAAACAACAACACTCCAAAAAAAACCAACCAACCAAACAAACAAACAAAAAAAAAAACTCGCATCCCCCAAAACCTCACAAACAACAAAACACTCCAAAAAAACCAACCCAACCAAACAAACAAACAAAAAAAAAAACTCGCATCCCCCAAAACCTCACAAACAACAAAACACTCCAAAAAAAACAACCCAACCAAAACAAACAAACAAACAAAAAACTCGCATCCCCCAAAACCTCACAAACAACAAAACACTCCAAAAAAAACAACCAACCAAACAAACAAACAAAAAAAAAAACTCGCATCCCCCAAACCTCACAAACAACAAAACACTCCAAAAAAACCAACCCAACCAAACAACAAACAAAAAAAAACTCGCATCCCCAAAACCTCACAAACAACAAAACACTCCAAAAAAAAACCAACCCAACCAACCAAACAAACAAACAAAAAAAAACTCGCATCCCCCAAAACCTCACAAACAAACAAAAACACTCCAAAAAAAAACCAACCCAAACCAAACAAACAAACAAAAAAAAAACTCGCATCCCCCAAAACCTCACAAACAACAAAACACTCCAAAAAAAACCAACCAACCAAACAAACAAACAAACAAAAAACTCGCATCCCCCAAAACCTCACAAACAAAACACTCCAAAAAAACACCCCAACCAAACAAACAAACAAACAAAAAACTCGCATCCCCCAAAACCTCACAAACAACAAAACACTCCAAAAAAAACCAACCCAACCAAACAAACAAACAAAAAAAAAACTCGCATCCCCAAAACCTCACAAACAACAAAACACTCCAAAAAAACCAACCCAACCAAACAAAACAAACAAACAAAAAACTCGCATCCCCAAAACCTCAACAAACAAAAAACACTCCAAAAAAACCAACCCAACCAAACAAACAAACAAAACAAAAAACTCGCATCCCCAAAACCTCACAAACAACAAAACACTCCAAAAAAAACCAACCCAACCAACAAACAAACAAAACAAAAAACTCGCATCCCCAAAACCTCACAAACAACAAAAACACTCCAAAAAAACCAACCCAACCAAACAAACAAACAAACAAAAAACTCGCATCCCAAAACCTCACAAACAACAAAACACTCCAAAAAAAACCACCCAACCCAAACAAACAAAAAAACAAAAAAAAAACTCGCATCCCCCAAAACCTCACAAACAACAAAACACTCCAAAAAAAAACAACCCAACCAAACAAACAAACAAACAAAAAACTCGCATCCCCCCAAAACCTCACAAACCAAAAACACTCCAAAAAAAAAACAACCCAACCAAACAAAACAAACAAACAAAAAACTCGCATCCCCCAAAACCTCACAAACAACAAAACACTCCAAAAAAAACAAACCCAACCAAACAAACAAACAAACAAAAAAAAACTCGCATCCCCCCAAAACCTCACAAAACAACAAAACACTCCAAAAAAAACCAACCCAACCAAACAAAAACAAACAAAAAACTCGCATCCCCCAAAACCTCACAAACAACCAAAACACCCAAAAAAAAAAACAACCCAACCAAACAAACAAACAAAAAAAAACTCGCATCCCCCAAACCTCACAAACAACAAAACACTCCAAAAAAACCAACCAACCAACAAACAAACAAAAAAAAAAAACTCGCATCCCCCAAAACCTCACAAAAAAACCAAAACACTCCAAAAAAAACCAACCCAACCAAACAAACAACAAACAAAAACTCGCATCCCCCAAAAACCTCACAAACAACAAAACACTCCAAAAAAAACAACCCCAACCAAACAAACAAACAAAAAAAAAACTCGCATCCCCCAAAACCTCACAAACAACAAACACTCCAAAAAAACAACCCAACCAACCAAAAACAAACAAACAAAAAAAAACTCGCATCCCCCAAAACCTCACAAACAACAAAACACTCCAAAAAAACCAACCCAACCAACAAACAAACAAACAAAAAACTCGCATCCCCCAAACCTCACAAACAACAAAACACTCCAAAAAAACCAACCCAACCAAACAAACAAACAAACAAAAAACTCGCATCCCCCCAAACCTCACAAACAAACAAAACACTCCAAAAAAAAACCAACCCAACAAACAAACAAAAAAAAAAAACTCGCATCCCCCAAAACCTCACAAACAACAAAACACTCCAAAAAAAAACCAACCCAACCAAACAAACAAACAAAACAAAACTCGCATCCCCCAAAACTTCACAAACAACAAAACACTCAAAAAAAACAACCCAACCAAACAAACAAACAAAAAAAAAACTCGCATCCCCCAAACACTCACAAACAACAAAACACTCCAAAAAAAACAACCCAACCAAACAAACAAACAAAACAAAAAAAAAACTCGCATCCCCCAAACCTCACAAACAACAAAACACTCCTCAAAAAAACCAACCCAACCAAACAAACAAACAAACAAAAAACTCGCATCCCCCAAAAACTCACAAACAACAAAAACACTCCAAAAAAAAACCAACCCAACCAAACAAACAAACAAAAAAAAAACTCGCACAAAACCTCACAAAAAAAACACTCCAAACCAACCCAAACAAACAAAACAAAAAAAAAAAACTCGCATCCCCCAAAACCTCACAAACAACAAAACACTCCAAAAAAACCAACCCAAAAACAACAAACAAACAAACAAAAAACTCGCATCCCCCAAAACCTCACAAACAACAAAACACTCCAAAAAAAAAACAACCCAACCAAACAAACAAACAAAAAAAAACTCGCATCCCCCAAAACCTCACAAACAACAAAAAACACTCCAAAAAAAACCAACCAAACCAAACAAACAAACAAAAAAAAACTCGCATCCCCCAAAACCTCACAAACAACACAAAACACTCCAAAAAAACCAACCCAACCAAACAAAACAAACAAACAAAAAAACTCGCATCCCCCAAAACCTCACAAACAACAAAACACTCCAAAAAAAACCAACCCAACAAACAAACAAACAAACAAAAAAACTCGCATCCCCCAAAAACCTCACAAACAACAAAACACCTCCAAAAAAACCAACCCAACCAAACAAACAAACAAACAAAAAACTCGCATCCCCCAAAACCTCACAAACAACAAAACACTCCAAAAAAACCAACCCAACCAACAAACAAAACAAAAAAAAACTCGCATTCCCCCAAAACCTCACAAACAACAAAACAACTCCAAAAAAAACCAAAAAACCCAACCAAACAAACAACAAAAAAAAACTCGCATCCCCCAAAACCTCACAAACAACAAAACACTCCAAAAAAAACAACCCAACCAACAAACAAACAAAAAAAAAAACCAACAAACCTCACAAACAAAACAAAACACTCAAAAAAACAACCAACAAACAACAAACAAAAAAACTCGCATCCCCCAAAACCTCACAAACAACAAAACACTCCAAAAAAAAACCAACCCAACCAAACAAAAACAAACAAAAAACTCGCATCCCCAAAACCTCACAAACAACAAAACACTCCAAAAAAACAAACCCAACCAAACAAACAAACAAAAAAAAACTCGCATCCCCCAAAACCTCACAAACAACAAAACACTCCAAAAAAAAACCAACCACCAAACCAAACAAACAAACAAAAAAAACTCGCATCCCCAAAACCTCACAAACAAACAAAACACTCCAAAAAACAACCCAACCAAAACAAACAAACAAAAAAAAAACTCGCATCCCCCAAAACCTCACAAACAACAAAACACTCCAAAAAAAAAACCCAACCAAACAAACAAACAAAAAAAAAAAACTCGCATCCCCCAAAACCTCACAAAACAACAAAAACACTCCAAAAAAACCAAACCCCAACCAAACAAACAAACAAACAAAAAACTCGCATCCCCCAAAAACCTCACAAACAACAAAACACTTCCAAAAAAAACAACCCAACCAAACAAACAAACAAACAAAAAACTCGCATCCCCCAAAACCTCACAAACAACAAAACACTCCAAAAAAACCAACCCAACCAAACAAACAAACAAACAAAAACTCGCATCCCCCAAAACCTCACAAACAACAAAAACACTCCAAAAAAAACCAACCCAACCAAACAAACAAAACAAACAAAAACTCGCATCCCCAAAACCTCACAAACAACAAAACACTCCAAAAAAACAACCCAACCAAACAAACAAACAAACAAAAAACTCGCATCCCCCAAAACCTCACAAACAACAAAACACTCCAAAAAAAACCAACCCAACCAAACAAAACAAACAAAAAAAAAAACTTCGCATCCCCCAAAACCTCACAAAACAACAAAACACTCCAAAAAAAAACAACCCAACCAAACAAACAAACAAAAAAAAAACTCGCATCCCCCAAAACCTCACAAACAACAAAACACTCCAAAAAAACCAACCCAACCAAACAAACAAACAAACAAAAAAACTCGCATCCCCCAAAAACTCACAAACAACAAAAACACTCCAAAAAAAACAACCCAACCAAACAAACAAACAAACAAAAAACTCGCATCCCCCAAAACCTCACAAACAACAAAACACTCCAAAAAAAACCAACCCAACCAAACAAAACAAACAAACAAAAAACTCGCATCCCCCAAAACCTCACAAACAACAAAAACACTCCAAAAAAAAACCAACCCAACCAAACAAACAAACAAACAAAAAACTCGCATCCCCCAAAACCTCACAAACAACAAAACACTCCAAAAAAACCAACCCAACCAAACAAACAAACAAACAAAAAACTCGCATCCCCCAAAACCTCACAAACAACAAAACACTCCAAAAAAAACAACCCAACCAAACAAACAAACAACAAAAAAACTCGCATCCCCCAAAACCTCACAAAACAACAAAACACTCCCAAAAAAAACCAACCCAACCAAACAAACAAACAACAAAAAACTCGCATCCCCCAAAACCTCACAAACAACAAAACACTCCAAAAAAACCAACCCAACCAAACAAACAAACAAACAAAAAACTCGCATCCCCCAAAACCTCACAAACAAAAACACTCCAAAAAAAACCAACCCAACCAAACAAACAAACAAAAAAAAAAAACTCGCATCCCCAAAACCTCACAAACAACAAAACACTCCAAAAAAACCAACCCAACCAAACAAACAAACAAACAAAAAACTCGCATCCCCCAAAAACCTCACAAACAACAAAACACTCCAAAAAACCAACCCAACCAAACAAACAAACAAACAAACAAAAAAACTCGCATCCCCCAAAACCTCACAAACAACAAAACACTCCAAAAACCAACCCAACCAAAAAACAAACAAAACAAAAAACTCGCATCCCCCAAAACCTCACAAACAACAAAACACTCCAAAAAAACCAACCCAACCAAACAACAACAAACAAAAAAAAACTCGCATCCCCAAAACCTCACAAACAACAAAAACACTCCAAAAAAACCAACCCAACCAAACAAACAAACAAACAAAAAACTCGCATCCCCAAAACCTCACAAACAACAAAACACTCCAAAAAAACCAACCCAACCAAACAAACAAACAAAAAAAAAACTCGCATCCCCCAAAACCTCACAAACAACAAAACACTCCAAAAAAACCAACCCAACCAAACAAAACAAACAAACAAAAAACTCGCATCCCCCCAAACCTCAAACAAACAAAACACTCCAAAAAAAACCAACCCAACCAAACAAACAAACAAACAAAAAACTCGCATCCCCCAAAACCTCACAAACAACAAAAACACTCCAAAAAAACCAAACCCAACAAACAAACAAACAAACAAACAAAAAAACTCGCATCCCCCAAAACCTCACAAACAACAAAACACTCCAAAAAAAACCAACCCAACCAAACAAACAAACAAACAAAAAAAACTCGCATCCCCCAAAACCTCACAAACAACAAAACACTCCAAAAAAACCAAACCAACCAAACAAACAAACAAACAAAAAACTCGCATCCCCCAAAACCTCACAAACAACAAAACACTCCAAAAAAACCAACCCAACCAAACAAACAAACAAACAAAAAACTCGCATCCCCCAAAACCTCACAAACAACAAAACACTCCAAAAAAACCAACCCAACCAAACAAACAAAACAAACAAAAAACTCGCATCCCCCAAAACCTCACAAACAACAAAACACTCCAAAAAAACCAACCCAACCAAACAAACAAACAAACAAAAAAACTCGCATCCCCCAAAACCTCACAAACAACAAAACACTCCAAAAAAAACCAACCCAACCAAACAAACAAACAAAACAAAAAACTCGCATCCCCCA